GGGGTTGACTTGGAGGAAGGAGGAAGGAGGAAGGAGGAAGGAGGAAGGAGAAAGGGGCAGCTGGCTGGCCAGGTAAAGGGTAGGCACCGCATAGCCTGGCTTCTCAGGTAGGTCCCAGGATTCTAGTCTGTCAGAGCTAGCATTGAGCTCAGAGATCCTCTGGTCCACTCAGCTCATTTCATAGAGGCGCACCCTGAGGAGGCGGCAGAACTGGGTACTGGTAACACGTGGCTCGGCTAGAGCTTCCAACCACAGAGCCTTTCTGGCCAGTGCCTCTCAGGCTGTGTTTAGTCTATTCACCTGTGGACCATCTGGATGGTGGATATCAGATGGGTCCAGGGTGCTGAGATGATGGTAATAATGACAGAACTCAACTCCAGAGGTGACCTGCCCACCCCTCTTCCTGCAAACAGGCCACCATTCTCTCAGTGGAGTTAAAAGAGGGTTTTGGGTCTGGCCAGTGTGGCTCAGTGGTTGAGCGTCGACCTATACACCAAGAGGTTGCCGGTTCGATTCCCGGTCAGGGCACATGCCCAGGTTGTGGATCAGGTCCCCAGTGGGGAGCATGCAGGAGGCGGACAATCAATGTACTCTCTCATCGATATTTCTCTCTCTCTCCCCCTGTCCCTTCCACTCTCTCTAAAATCAATACAAGGGAAAAAAAAATTAAAAACAAAAAAGAGGGTTTTTGGAGGGGGTAGATAGAGGGGTATAAGGAGAAGGAGCCTCTTGTCTCACAGGAGAGGACCCCAGTTTTTCTTTTTTAAAAGTCTAGCAAGGACTTTTATAACTACTTATAAATATATATATATTTTTTTCAAATTTTTTTTTATCCTCACCCGAGGACATTTTTCCATTTTTTGTTCAGATAGAGTGGGAGGAAGAGAGAGAGAAACAGCGACATGAAAGGGACACATCGAGTGGCTGCCTTCCACACAACCCAACCAGGGCTGGGGACACAAACTGCAACCGTGGTACATGCCCTTAATGGGAACCGAACCCGGGTCTCTCTGGACCGCAGGCTGACGCTCTAACCGCTGAGCCAAGCCGGCCAGGGCACTACTTATAAATATTATGACTATTATAACTAAGTCATCCCTTGCCACTTCGCGCTTTGACTTTACCCGAGGACATTTTTCCATTTTTTGTTCAGGTAGAGTGGGAGGGAGAGAGAGGAACAGAGAGAGAGAGAGAGAAACATCGATATGAAAGGAACACATCAAGTGGCTGCCACCCGCACGACCGACCAGGGCCGGGGACAAACTGCAATCAAGGTACGTGCCCTTAGCGGGAACCGAACCCGGGTCTCTCCGGACCACAGGCCGATGCTCTAACCGCTGAGCCAAACCGGCCAGGGCACACACTTTGACTTTTGTGGCTTCACTCTATTACGTTTTTTTTTCAAATATATTCATTAAAAAGTTGATCGAGACAGTGAAAATGATACAGCGCATGCTCGGTTGTCTGAGTTAATTATACACCCCTGTATTACAATTAAAATGAAAATTACTGTACGTATGGACTGTAGGCCTAGGTACTCGAGCACCCCAGGAAGCCTTCAACGCCAGGTGCAACCACTAGAGTCTGGAACGGATTAACCGGGATAAACGAAGGCTGACTGTACTTATATTTTCTCATCCTTACATAAACCCAAAACATTTTCAAAAACAGTTACTTATCCCTTTTTTTTTTAAAATCTTCACCCCGAGGATATATTTCCATTTATCTTCAGATAGAGTGGGAGGGAGGGAGGAAGAGAGAAAGAGAGAAAGATCAATGTGACACATGGATTGGTTGCCTCCCGCACAACCGAACTACAACCAAGGTACACGCCCTTGACCAGAATCGAACCTGAGACTGTGGTCTGAGGGCCGATGCTCTAACCGCTGGGCCCAGCTGGCCAGGGCTTATCTCAGTTTCTTAAACTTACAACACTCAGTTTTTAGCCTTCCCTCGTTCTCTTTCCTTCCCACTTTCCTCGGGTCGCTCTACTCCAGGGCGCAGGACCTTCACTATGACCCCACTTTTTTTTTTTTTTTAAGATTAAAAATAAACACATTTGTTTTTCTTTATTGATTTGAGAGAGAGAGGAAGGGTGAGGGAGAAAGATAGAAACATTGATGAGAGAGAACATCGGTTAGCCCCCTCCTGCATGCCCCCCACTGGGGATTCGGGCCTACAACCTGGGCATGTGCCCTGACCAGGAATTGAACCAATGATCTCTTGGTGCATGGGTCGACGCACAACCACTGAGCCACACTGTCTGGGCATGACCCCACTTTTGATAACCCTGATTTGCTGTGTCAGGACATCTTTCTTATTTCTGACCCAACATGTTCTTGCTGTGCTGGTCCATTTACTCTGGGAAGATGGAGAATAGCTTTCTTCCAAATAACCCATTTAGAGACCTGGCCTGTCTCCTTGCCCCTCCCTGCCACCTTCCTCCCTTGTGCTGTCCCAGATGTCATAAGAGAGAAGCGAGAAGACAGTCCTTTATCTGATCCCTGAACTGCGCAGGAGCCCTACAGAGCTGGCTCTTCTTCCCGCAGAGGATGAGGCTCTCTGCTGACCTGGATCTGCGGGTGCTTCCTCCCTGCGAGATCCTCAAGGTCTACCCCTTGGGAGATGATATGGGGGAAGGTGGTGGCTCTGTCAAGGGCTGAGAGTCTATCAAGGGCCTTCTAGGGACCTCCCTCTTAGCTCTTCCCAAGCCCCCGTTTCTGCCACTTCAGAGGGGAACACCAGGCCCAGAGGACATTTATTTGGCATAAAAGGCATAAAGAACACAGCATAATATGCCCTGGCCAAGTAGCTCAGTTGGTTAGAGCACCATCCCCACGTGCCAGGGTTTCCGGTTCAATCCCCAGTCAAGGCATATGCAGGAATCAGCCAACAAATGCACGAATGGGTGGAGCCACAAATGGATGTTCTCTCTCTCTCTCCCCCTCTCTCCTTCCCTCCCTCCCTCCCCCTTCCTCTCTAAGAATCAGTAAGTAAAATTTAAAAAGAAAAGAAAACAGCATAATATAGAGGACACATACCCAGACCCTCCCTGCAGGAGGTGCCATTAACCTGCCAGTTTTGTGATCCTGGGGAATCGCTTCACTGTTCTGAGCCTTGGTTCCCTCATCTGAACTGAGCATTTGGGGCCTTGTCCTCAGCCTTCCCCTGGCTGTGGACTCCTCCTCCTGCAGAGAAAGTACTGCGGCAGGAATCCTCAGTGCTCGCTCCAACCTGCTAGCTACTGCCCCTGGGGGGAGACAAGCAGGAATCACAGGGATATGAGACCCTGAGGTTCAAAACCTGTGTCTCCCTCTCCGGGGGCTTTGAGGCCCTGAAAGCATTATCCACTTCCTGGCAAGGCCATAAAGAGAGCAGTGGCCGCCATAGGCTGCCACACGCCCATCTGACATGCCTAGGCTGTTATTTGAAGGAACCAGAAAGTCCTGTCTCAGGCCTGCCCTTTTTTTTTTTTTATCCTCACCTGAGGACATTTTTCCTTTTTTTTGTTCAGATAGTGTGGGAGGGAGAGAGAGTAAGAGAGAGAGAAACATCGATGTGAAAGGGACACATCGAGTGGCTGCCTCCTGAACGACCCAACCAGGGTGGGGGACAAACTGCAACCGAAGTACGTGCCCTCAGCGGGAACTGAACTCGGGTCTCTCTTGGCCACAGGCCAACGCTCTAACCGCTGAGCCAAACCGGCCAGGGCTCAGGCCTGCCCTTTTGTGCCGCCTCCCAGCTCTGGTGGTCGGCCCCCTGCACCCATTCCTCCAGGCCTCAGGCGTCCCCTTACTCAGCCTGCCACTGTCCACAGGCTCTCTGCCCTCCCTCACTGGGCCTGGTAGCACCAGCACTGGGGCTAGCTTGTTGTCCTCCGCCTCCTCCCCCACCCTCTGCTAGGGCCTTGGCTCCTCCCCAGCTCTGCCTTTCAGGCCTGACACTTCTGCCAGCTGCCATGGGGGCTGGGCTGACCCCTTCAATGGGTCCTAGCTGGCCCTGTGATTCACCAGGCTTTGCTGAGCCACTGGGCTTCTTTCCTGGTCACTAGAAGGCTTTGTTTCTTTTTTCTTTCTTTCTTTTTTTTTTATCCTCACCCGAGGACATTTTTCCATTTTTTGTTCAGATAGAGTGGGAGGGAAAGAGAGGGAGAGAGAGAAAGAGAGAGAGAGAGAGAGAGAGAGAGAGAGAGAGAGAGAGAGATCGCGACGTGAAAGGGACACATCGAGTGGCTGCCTCCCGTACGAACAACCAGGGAGAGAGAGAGAGAGAGAGAGAGAGAGAGAGAGATAGCGACGTGAAAGGGACACATCGAGTGGCTGCCTCCCGTACGAACAACCAGGGCCAGGGACAAACTGCAACCGAGGTACGCGCCTCCAGTGGGAACCGAACCCGGGTCTCTCTGGACCTCAGGCCGACGCTCTAACCGCTGACCCAAACTGGCCAAGGCTCTTTTTTCTTTTTTTAAAATTTATTTTATTTTATTTTTAAATTGATTCCAGAGAGAGGAAGGGGCGGGGGGGGGAGGGGGGAGAGAAACAGAGACAGAAATATTGATTGGTTGCTTCCCACACATGCCCAGACTGGGAATCCAACGTGCCCTGAACCCACCACCTTTTGGTATACAGGCTGACACTCCAGCCAACTGAGCCACACCGGCCAGAGCTAGAAGGCTTTCTTAGATGATCACACGGGAGTTCCCAGGCCCCTGCTCCTCATTGCTTACCCCACCGATGCCCAGTGACCCCTCTGGGCTCCTGCCCTCTCCCATGGCAGACAGTGAGGAGGGCTGTGGGCAGAAAGCTGATGTGAAGGTGCAGGGCAGGGGCTGGGCTGAGGGGCAGGGGCACGGTGGCGATGGAGAGGATGGCCTGTGGGCGGAGAATGACCCCCAATGACGGGGAAAATATGAGGGTCTTCTTCCATGGAGGCCACCTGGACTGGGGCTGAGTGAGCTGGGCCTGGGCATTCACGACTGCTTCTCTCATCTCCCCTTTCAGGTCCCGGCAGCTGGGGTCTCCCCTCAGCCTTTGAGCGGCCATGTCCAACCCCAGCGCCCCCCCTCCCTATGAAGACCGCAATCCCCTCTATCCTCCGCCTCATGGGGGCTACGGGCAGCCTTCTGTCCTGCCTGGCGGGTACCCTGCCTACCCTGCCTACCCACAGCCTGGCTTTGGTCACCCTGGTGGCTACCCACAACCTATGCCCCCCATCCACCCGATGCCCATGCACTATGGTGAGTCTGGGCTGGGGGTGCGGGAGGGAGGGGGGAGGAACACATGAGGCTGCCTCATTCCCTTCCTTTTCAGCTTCCTGTGAATCCATTTTCTTTTTTTTTTTTAAATATGTTTTTATTGATTTTTTTAGAAAGAGGAAGGGAGAGGGAAAGAGATAGAAACATCGATGAGAGAGACACATAGATTGGCTGCCTCCTGCATGCCCCCCACTGGGGATTGAGCCTGCAACCTGGGCATATGCCCTGACTGGGAATTGAACCAGTGACCTCTTGGTCCAAGGGTTGATACTCAACCACTGAGCCACACTGGGTGGGCTGAATCCATTTTCTCATATCTCCATTTCCCACTTTGTTACCGCCTTGGTCAGATTGAGCTCCCCTGGACCACCCGTTAGTCCTTTATTCAGCAGGGAGACTGAGTCCGTAGGACACACAGGAAGTTACATGTCACAGGAGAAAGTGGCTGGGCGAAGTAATTAATTCAGAGCCTTAGAGGCCGTTTCCAACTAGGCCCGTCGCCAGCCCACCCAGATTCCTCTCTCCCTTTGGAACCTGAGGCACATCTTATTTTTAATTTGGTGCTGACAAATCCTCATCCTTTAAGGTAACATCCAATTTTTACCAACATCCAGGGGACATTTGGATGTTTGGTAACCACCATGGCAAATAAATGCTGTGTTTGGTCAGAGTTGATAGAAGGTTAGAGGGCCTGGAGACGGTCCCTGAGCAGCCCCTCGGCGGGTTCTGAAGCGGCTGGGGAGGCCTGGGAGGCATTCCAGGAATGCTCGGCCCTGCAGTGCCTCTGGGCGCCTGGAGCACCGCCAGGCTCTGGCCCGCTCCTCTGCTCCCGTGCGAGTGTCAGTGCATCAATCACGGTCCAGCCCTGCCTTGTCCTGGGAATGATTCCCAGGACATGTCTGTTTCCTCTGAGTCCTACTGTTGACCAGATGTAGATTGAAGTCTACATACTCTTCTCCACCCTGCACACACGTGCTGTGTTTCTACTTTCCTTTTGCTTCTTCTGTCCCTGAGTCTCCTGCTCTGACCCCCCCAGATCCTCTGGCCGACGCTCTAGTCCGTGTGCCTGCAACCACGTGTTCGTACGCCCAGGCATGCAGGTGTGGGCTGGGCACCCTCGGTAAATGCATGCCGATGGAATGGTTCTAACCCAAGCCCTTTGTGACGGGCACAGGGCTCCATATGGTGCCCAGGCCAGCTCTGGGTCACTCTGCGGGCATGTGGAGGACCTGGCTTGGGCGAGGCGTTCAAGTTGCAACACCTGTTTTTTGGCTGGAGCTACCTGAGACTCTGAGATAACGACATGGAGGCTTTGGGATTGAGGCCACATGTTCCCAGTTGGTCATATGTGATCTGTTCCCAGGCCCGGGCTATGATGTCGAGGAGAGAGCAGTGAGTGACAGCTTCGGAGGTGGAGAATGGGATGACAGGAAAGTCCGACACACCTTCATTCGAAAGGTGAGATCTGGACTGGGGGTGGGGTACCGGGCCCCTGTGGCTGTGGGAATGGGGCTGGTGGGGAGGCACTCATTCCCATGGAATAGCTGCTGCCTTCCAGGTTCTCTCTAGCCCTGCACTCTCCTGACCTCTGTTCCCCACCCTTTGCTCCTCTTTCTATGACCTTGTTTTGGGGTTGGGGCGGATTCAATCTGGGAAAATCTCAGCGGGCTCTGCAAAGTGTTTTACCCTCCCAAAACTTTTCTTCTGTTTAACTGTAAGCAACGAAGGCAGAAGTGATCATAGCCCTTCCCTCCCTTCTCCATTTCACATCTGCATGGTACCCTGCTCAGAGTAGATAGATACCTGACAGGTGTCAGCCTGAACTGCAGATGCGGAGGCCACACCAGGTCGTGCAGGGAGGTTGGGGAAGTTAGCAGTAAACTGAGGCTAGATGTCAGACAGGGATGAGGGTGTCAAGGAGCAGCTGGAGGTGGGGTCAGCTCCGAGGTGTGTATATACTTGAGCCAGCCTCTCCACCTGGCTGCAGCTGGGGAGAGCTCTCGAGTGGAAACAAAGAGTAGATCCTTCGAAATTAAGAAGGAGGCCCTCCCACCACTGACTAATAGACGGCGGATTTGGGAGGAGGAGAGTCTGTTGGTCCCCGTGGTCTGGGGGCTGGCTGCTTCCTGGGGAGAGGCCAGGGCTATGGGATGGTGACCCATCTGTGTTGCAGGTTTACAGCATCATCTCCGTCCAGCTGCTCATCACAGTGGCCATCATCGCTGTCTTCACCTTTGTGTGAGTCTCTGGGCTTCTCCACCCCTCTTATGAGCTCTGGGGTCCTGGGCCTGCTCTAGGGCACCTGCCAGGAGCTGGGGTGAGGGTAGGCCCTTTACTCAGAGGACTAGGAGAAGAGCTGGATGCAGGTGATTGGAGGAAACGGCTGTGACTCTTCTGTCTTCTCCTCCACAGGAAGCCAGTTGGCGAGTTTGTGAGGAGAAATGTGGCTATCTACTACGTGTCCTAGTGAGTCTGCTCCCCTCTCTGCTCGGGGCAAGGGAAGGAGGGTGACACTTGTGTGGATTTTCTCAGGGCAGGGGTCCAAATACTTTTTTTTTTTTTTATTCTCACCAGAGGACATTTTTTCTATTTTTTGTTCAGATAGAGTGTGGGAGGGAGAGAGAGAGAGAGAAACATTGACGTGAAAGGGACACGTCGAGTGGTTGCCACCCACACGACCCAACCAGGGCCGGGGACAAACTGCAACCGAGGTACATGCCCTTAGCGGGAACCGAACCCGGGTCTCTCAGGACCGCAGGCCGACGCTCCAACCGCTGAGCCAAACCGGCCAGGGCCCAAATACTTTCTGAGGGGCCCTTCAAGTTGCCACCGGTGTCAGGAAGTGTGGGCGTGTGCACCTAGTGAGGGGCAGCAGCACAGAAATCCTAAGAGCAGGGGTGAGGAACCAGCGGCCACACGTGTACAGCAAAATGGTCCCGTGTTCTGTTAGCCTGTCTGCTATGGCGTCCTTCACCCTATTCCTGGCCAGCCCCCCGCCCCGCCCCAGGTTCTCAGTGCCTTTGGCTGGGGTAATTCTGTCCTACTAGGTAGCTTGCCCTCATACTTCCAGACAGCTCTGGGTCTCCCACCTGCTGGCCTGGTGAGTGCTGGTGGCTGGGCCAGGAGGGGCCGAGGAGCAGATCAGGCCTGTGGACTACTTCCTGTCTCTCTCCCCAGTGGTGTCTTCCTGGCTACCTACCTGACCCTTCTCTGCTGCCAGGGACCCAGGTGAGTCCCAAAGACTTAGACAATAAGAAGGGATGGCAGGGGGCAGGAGTGGGACCAGATATTTTAGGAAGAAAGGGGACTCCTCACAGCAGCTGACTGGAGCCTACAAGCAGCAGTGAAGATGACAGCAGCTACTTTCACGTGTGCACAAAGAGCCTGCCTGGCACTGCGCCTGGGCCTCTCCCTGGGCCTCTTCTTCCCCAGGCAGGTTGCCTTGGCCTTTCTCTCTCCGCAGCTCCAAGGGCCCTTCTTTTGCTTCTGTAACTTGTTTCCTATGTAACTTGTTTCCTGAGCCCCTGCAGCCCAGCTGGCTCACTTCTTCTACCTCTGCAACTTTCTCAATAAACACCACACACAACCACACCCAAAGTACCTTGCCTGTGTGGGGTCTATTTAGCTATGAAGCAGTTATTCTTACAACCCTGGAAGATATGTAACATTTTAACCATTTAACAAATAGGAAGAGCCCAAGGCTCAGAGAATCTGAGTAACTTTCTCACAGTCACACAGATAGTGTAAGAACTGCAAATGAGTCCAGGTCCTTGTGGCCCCACGAGCCCAGGTCTGTATTACTGCCCTAGTTGTCCCTACATAAAACACCGGAGCAGGTACCAAAGGCTGACCCAGCTTCCCCTCCACCGGGTCAAGGTCTGTTTCTCTCTTAAAAAGATAGATAGATAGATAGATAGATAGATAGATAGATAGAGATATAGATATATGTTCTATTGATTTTTAGAGAGTCAGGGAGGGGGAGAGAGAGAGAAACATCGATTGGCTGCCTCCTGCACGCCCCCTACTGGGGATCGACCCTGCAACCTGGGCATGTGCCCTGACTGGGAATCAAACTGGTGACCTCTTGGTGTATGGGTGGATGCCCAACCATGAGCCATACCAGCCAGGCAAGGCCTAATTCTCTAGACACCCGAGCCAAGAACTTCCTTCTGCTGAAGGAGTCTCTGATACCTGGCTGGTCCACGTCACTTAATCATGCTTTCTGTTCCTTCAGACGCCGTTTCCCATGGAACATCATCCTGCTGACCATCTTTGTAAGTTTAGGAGGGTGGAGGGTGCGTGTGGAGAAGGTGTGAGGAAGGGTCAGTCCCAGGGAAGGTGTCTCTGGTCCTCTCCGCCACCTTATCTGACCCATTTCCTCAGTCACATTTGCCCCAGCTCTGACACTCCACCATGGCCATGCCTCGCTTAAGTGTTTCACTCTTCTCTCTCTCCTTCCCTCAGACTCTTGCCATGGGCTTCATGACCGGCACCATTTCCAGGTACAGTCAGGGACAAACCACCACGCTCTTGGGCAGTGTGTGTGATGGGGAGCAGGGCATCCCTGGGCTAGAAGACACCTGCGTGGGGGATTCTGGGCAGGGTGCTTTTGGAAATGGTGGTTTTGAAGTCACGCCTCTGGCCTTTTTCAACTGCTTCCCTTCAGTATGTATCAAACCAAAGCCGTCATTCTTGCAATGATCATCACTGCTGTGGTGTCCATTTCAGTCACCATCTTCTGCTTCCAGACCAAGGTGAGGGTATGGGGGTGCCTTCCCTGGCCACTCCACTCCCCCTTTTTTTATACAGAGGTGGCCCTTAAGGCTTGATACTTGAGCAGGCCTGGCAGGGTCCAGACCCCTAGACTGGGGATTCCCTTAGAGACCCTAACCCCCTTCCCTTCATAGCTACTACACCTACAAAACTGCTTCCTATGTGTGTCCTTAGAATGTCACTATTGTTCTCCTGTCCCCAGGAAGCAGCACTGGGACTCCCTGGTGGGGGGCAGGGCCAGCCTTGCTGAGCTGCTTATTGTGACACAGGTCTGACAGCAGCCTCGTTCTTCCTCCCTGCCAGGTGGACTTCACCTCGTGTACAGGCCTCTTCTGTGTCCTGGGAATTGTGATGACAGTGACTGGGATTGTCACTGCCATTGTGCTGTCCTTCAAATATGTGAGTGTCTTGGGAGAGATGGGGTCAGTGAACCCAGTGCTCAGGGAAGACTTTCTTTTTTTTCCTTTTACTGATTTTAGAGAGAGGGAGAGGGAGAGAGATAGAAACATTGATCGGTCGCCTCCTGCATGCCCCCCCACTGGGGATTTGGCCCACAACCTGAGCATGTGCTCTGACCGGGAATCGAACCAGTGACCTCTTGGTGCATGGGTCGACGCTCAACCACTGAGCTACACCGGCCATGCCCCAGGGAAGACTTTCTGTATGACCAGTGCATCAGGCCCCACAGGCCTCTGGGCAGGTTGGAATTCACAACCTCTTGACTGGCTAGCAAAGGTGCCAGTGCAGAAGTCCTATCCTTTGGGTTGGGGTATAGTTAGTTCCTTTAGCAACAGATGGCCCTGGGAGCCATAGCACCTGAGGCCTTGGACAGCATCATGAAATTCCTACGGGAAGTAGTGAGTGAGATCTGTCTGACAGCTGAGACCAGGTTCAAGGAGGCAGACTGGGAGAGGAACCCAGAGGACCAAGAAGCTGGACTGGGGCAGAAGGAACCTTAGGGATCACTGTATCCAATTCCTCTTCTATTCCAGTTAACTGGGGGAGAGCATGAAGCCTCTAGGCTGAGGGGAGCCTCACGGCAGAGAGGGGAGCACAGTGCTGGGAGGGGAAGCATATGAACAGGAGGGCTACCTACCCACTTGACCATGGGCGGGCCTGCCCTTCGGGGGACTGGCACCTGGAAGGCTGTTGAGCAGGGCTGCCCTGGGGGCTCTCTGACTCTGATGTTCATCAAGGTGGTTGGGGGGCTTCCCTCTTAGCCCTCTTCTTTAGTCTGTCCCCCCAGCAGGACTGCAAGAACCCCTCTCCTGAAGGTTGACTGTGACTGGGGGAAAGGCGACAGGGCTCTTTGGCTGGAGCACGTCTGAGTCTGCCCCTTCCAGAGCTGTAATTCAACCACTTTACCTTCATTCACTGTGGAGCTAGAGGAAGTTGGTCCTGAGAGCCCACCGTGGTCCGTGCTTTGCTAAGATTTCTAATACCATCCCCGTTCCCTCTCCCCAGATTTACTGGCTGCATATGCTCTATGCTGCTCTGGGGGCCATAGGCTTCACCTTGGTGAGTACGTCCCCTGCCCCCTCAGGGAAAGGGAGCCGAGGGGAGGGAGAGGAGGAACTGAGCAGATGGAGAATGAATTTAGGCTGCTTGGGAGGCAGGGAATGTGGCCACAACTACCCTTCCCTTCCCGCTGTCAAGAGGTTCCACTGATTTTCTGGGCATTCCCGCCTGCTCTGGTTCACAGCGCCTGCTGTGCCACACCCCCTGCTGTGCGACACCCCCTGCTGTGCGACACCCAGCAGGCGCACCAGAGGGAGTGTCCTCCCTCTCCGAGGGTAGAGCCTTGTGTTGTGCTGTTCATTAACGTGTTCCCGAGCACACTGCATGGCACAGAAGCTAGGACAGATCTGCTGACCAGAAATGAGTTCTGGCACTGTACCCCCGGATCCTCACTCGTGCCTGTCCCTGCAGTTCCTGGCTTACGACACGCAGCTGGTCCTGGGGAACCGGAAGCACACCATCAGCCCAGAGGACTACATCACTGGCGCCCTGCAGATCTACACGGACATCATCTATATCTTCACCTTTGTGCTGCAGCTGTTGCGGAGTTGGGATTAAAGAGCATCCCCGGTTCTGCTCCACCCGTGGCTCTCCCATCTCTAGAGGGCTGGGCCACAGACCCCTTTCCTTCCCCTCAAGTAATATACCCAGTATCCTTTCTGTCCTGGGGTGCATGGCCTCTCTAGCTGTAGATGTGTGGGTACCACCTGGTGGGGCTGGAGGAACTGGGGACTAACTCTTGCCCTTGATGGACTTGGCAAGGACTAGGCTGAAGATGTGCCTTCTCCCTTCACCCACTGTGTGGCACCAAATTCTTATCTGCGGGGGTTAGAGGCAGAAAGGATGAAAAGAGCTTATTTTGTAACTAAGAGGGACTATGGAGTGAGAAGTGACTTCAAGGTATGAGGTTCCCTCTCCCACCTTTGCCACAGGCTTCTGGGCTAGGTAGCTGGAGCTCGTCCTCCCTCAACCCCTAACAGCCAAAGAGTTTTGTCCCTAGCCTGCTGGACTCTTAGGCCATTATTCTGTATTCCTTTGGCAAACCTTGTCACTTCCCAGCTCGGAGGTATAAGAGATCTGTGCCGTGGGTCCCCCTGCTTCCAATTCTCTTTTGACTACATGTCTATCTGTGTTGGGGGTGGGGGAGGAAGAGGAGAGCAAGTAAAGTCAAGCACAGGGGCCAGTACAGAGCAGCATCTACCCTGGACTTCCTCAAGGCTGTGGTGGTGGTGGACAGCAGGCCCATTTGCAGCCATCTGGTCCCCATGCTCCAAAGCTGCCTGGAGGGCCTCCCTGGTGCTTGAGATCTCTGGCCAGAGGGACCCCTTGCTTTCCATGCTCAGGCTGCTCAAGGCAGAAAGTGAGGGGCAACGGTCAGGTGACGGGGTGGTTTGTAGGATCATAAGCGTGGCCAGGAAGTGAAGATGAAGAAATTGGGTTGTTCAGGGAAAATGTCTTGGGGTACCCCACCCAGTCTGACAGATACCGTTCGTTCTTCTGCTAACCTGGGGAGGGCCCTGAGAGGAGGGAGACTTGCCCTCTGTTCTTAATTCCCACTGGGGGTCTTAGACTCCATCTCGAGCCTGCTACTGCTTTCTTCTTGACACCATGTGCCTCAAGCTGAAATGGGGAAGGGGGAAAAGGGTCACTCTGTTGGGTGGGGTGGAAACCCAATCAGCCCAAGGGTATAATTAGGACTTCTCTAATAAGTCATTGGTCCTAAGTATATCACGTGAAAGGACATAACTAGAAAAGTAATAAAGTTTTACGTTTAGAAGTTAAAACACAATTTGGCTCTGGTTTTCTTCACTTTTGGTCTGGTTATGCCCAAAGCATCCACTTCCTACCTTTGCATTCGGACTCACTATCTTCTACCTTTTCTAAGACAACCAAGAACACTTCGCCCCAGCACTTCCTGGTGACAGATGCAAAAGGCTGGTGAATGCTTGACCTGCTTTCCTGGGTCTGGCAGGGACCACTCAGCACGTGACCCTCCTTGCATCATAGACCCTTTACAAAAGCTCATGAGAGCTATGAACTCTCCCCGACAAAGCCGTGTGTGCATACACAATTTCGAAGTTGGGGTCGGGGCGATAAACTGCAGGTTCAGGTTTAGGACCCCTGCCTTAGGAATTACTAGTCCCAAATCTCTTAAGGTAGCAGGCCCAGAGAGGTTGAGTCATTTGAACTCAGCCAGGAGAGGAGTACTTTTTTTCCTTTCCCACTCTCAATGCCTTCTTGTTTTTTTTTATTTGTTCACAGTTGAAAAAGATCCCACCCTCCTGGCCAGCAGCTCTGAGGGCTTGGTCCCCAGGGCCTGTGCCTAAACTTGTTGCTTGTCTCTGTGGTTTCCCCAGCCATTAATCCAGGGACACTGAGTGCTTCAGAGACAGCTCACAGGAGTAACCAACCCCGCCCTCTGCCCCTCCCTTCCCAAGGGACTAAAAAAATCCAGTCCCGGTTCCTTTCCACTCAAACATTCAAAAACTTTATTTGCCTTTGGCTGGTTCCTCAAAGGGAGGGGAGGGATGGGAGAGGGCAGCAGCCTGGGCTTCATGCGCCCTCTGGTGGACCTTAGAGGCAAAGACCAGACTTGCAGTTGAGGCCACAGTCAATAATACAGTCTATGGGGAAGGATGCAATATTCCTCAGGTCTGCACCCTGGACCCAGCTTCAGGAGATGGGGCATGTTGGGAGGAGGCCCTGAACCTCTGGCTCTCATACTCGCCCGTGTTGGATGCCCGCATGTTCTGCCGAGCCTTCATCTGCTTCAAACGGTTCTTGTCCACTTCCCGCTTGGTGAGGATGAAGAGGAGGATACCACAGGGGAAGCCGATGGCCCTAGGGGTGGGGAGATGTGCATGGGGTTTGGGGAGGGGCCACAGCCTGAGCCAGAGGAGCTGGGGAGAATCTCATTCTAGCTTCATTGATCTTGTGAACACTGTGATACCTCTTGTGTCTATTTAGCCTCGATGCTGGCTGCTGGAGGGCCCTACACAAATCAGATCCTGCCGCTACCCTGCTTAAAATCCCATAACAGCTCTCCATCACTTCCCTGCTAAGTCCAAACACCTAGGTGTGGCACAAAAGGCCCAGTGTAGTTTGGTCTCTGCCCACCTCTACATTCTTTCCCCCTGTAGCCTAACACCTGTCAACATGAGCCCTGCAATCCTGCTCTGCAGCCTGTGCATGATTCTCCAGGCAGCTCATCCTTTTCCCCTCTTCAAGTCTTGGCAAAGTCTCCCTCTGCCTAAACTGCTCCACACCCTTTCCCAGACTCCCCTTCTTAATCTGAGTAATTACTATTTGGGAGCACCTTTGTGTGGAGGAAAGGGAATGGAGTCACAAGACCTCGTAAGGGGGAAAGGGTATAGAGTCACAAGATCTGGTAAGAATCCCAGTTCTGAGCCTCAGTTCTCTTATCAGTGAAATGGGAATATAATATTTACCCCAAAGACTAAAATGTTACACTGTAAAGTCCTGGAACACCTAAGGTGCTGAAAAAAAGCGTAATTTCCCTCCCTGGCCAGTGTGACTCTGGTTGGGTGTTGTCCTGTGCATTGAAAGGTTGCTGGTTCAATTCCCAGACAGGGTGAAAAGCCCAGGTTTCAGACTCGATCCCTCCTGGGGGTGGGGGGTACAGGAGGCAGCCAATTGATGTTTCTCTCCCTATCCCTTCCACTCTCTCTAAATATCAATTTTAAAAGTCTTTTAAAAAAGACAATTCTGGCCCTGGTGTTTGGCTCAGCGGTTGGAGCGTTAGCCGCAGACCAAAGAGTCTTAGGTTCAATTCTAGTCGAGGGCACGTACCTGGGTTGCAGTTCAATTCTAGGCCCTGGCTGGGGTCATGCAGGAGGCAATCAATTCATGAGTCTCTCACATTGATACTCCCCGCCCCCCACCGTCCCTCCCTCTCACTTGATCTGAAAATCAATGAAAAAATACCCTCAGGTGAGGATTAAAAAAAAAGACAATTCTGCTAAAATACCTTTAAAAATTTTGTTAATTTCCCCCTCCTTACCCTTTAACATTGATCAATAATATGTATTAAGGTCAGAGGTGAATCTGAATAATGATGTACTGAACACCTTCTAGGTGAAACCTCAATTGGGTCTCACCTCAAGTTCCCAAAAGAGGATGAGGCCAGGGAACCAAATTCAAATCAGATTAGCTCAGCTTACTCCACAGAAAACCCACTGTCTATCCAATTCCACATACTTTCCAACCTCCCCTATCCCATTCTTATGAGATTCCAGCCCTTGCACCCAGCAATTCTGTTCCCACAACACTGGATTCAGCTTACCACCTGAAACTTGGAGAACTTCTGGGTCCTGCCCTCCCCTGGTGCCACTCCCTATCGGTGGGCTAAGGGTTAGTTAAAACTCACCAGGCTAGTCCCACAGCTTTCATGGGGTTCTTGGCCCTCTTTCTGGGAATGTATTCCGGCTCAGGAGATAGGGGCTCAGGCTCTTCCTTGCACTCTGGGGAGCTGTGGCTTTGCAGTGCCCGGGTCCTGTTCTGGGAAGCTTTGTTAGCTGTGGCTCCTGAGAGAATCCCTGTGGATAGGAAATATGAAGGTCAGTAAGAGGATGCGGTGAAAGCCTGGGAAGGAGTGGTTGGGATCTAAGGAAGGGAAGTGACTGCAGTATGGTGTAACAAGTGCCAGGGAGAACCCAAAGGGAAATGGGAAAATCGCCATCGAGGTGACACCTTTGGAAGTTACTTCCACGTCACTGTGGGCTCATCACCCTGGTGCCAGGAGAGCGAGCTTCGCTGTTCATCTCCTCAGAAGACAGGATGGGAAGGACTGCAGTGGGACTCACATGAGACGTATGTAGGAAATCCGCGAAAATGTTTTTAAACCGCGGAATGTTAGCATTGGAAGGGAGCTTAAAGGTGGTCACTCCTTCCCCTCGTCCTACAGAAGAGGAAACTGAAGCCCAGAGAGACTACGTGCTTCGCCCAAGGTCAAACTGCTAATTATCCGGGGCTAGAATCCAAGCCTCCTGAAGCTCAGGGCTCTCTCCTCTGCACTGCGGTGAGTGTGAAACACCTGGAACGCGGGAGCCTAAAAGGCTTCCTTGGGACTCCCTCCAGCAGCAAGACCCCAGAGCTGCCGTGTAACCCGACAGCAGAGGGACGGACTGGGTGACCTCTAGAGACTACCTTATAGCCCCCAGACTCTTTAAGATCCTGCAGAGGGGTGCGAGCAGGAATCGACAGCCCTGACCTCCTCCTATTGCCGGGCAGGAGTTAAAAAAAGGGGGACCCCCTGCAGTCCTGCCCTCCCCGGGGTCCCTCTCCTTACCCCGGAGGACGCGGGCATTCCTCGCCCCCCGGCCCTTCAGCGCCGTAGCAGCTACCACCGCCGCCATGTTCAGATCCCACCCCCTTTCACCGCGGTCCCCGCCGGGAATTGTAGTTTGCGTAAGGGGCCTCCCCCGCTCCTTCCGTCCCGCCTGCAGATGAGAAACTACATCTCCCAAAAGCCTTCGGAGCCGACCGGGCTGAACTACTTTTCCCAGGAGACCCGGAGGCGCGCACGCTCGCTTGTTTCCCTTCTGTCGGGGCGGAGTCAGGTCGGGCGGAGTTTGAGTTCTCTCCGCCACGCCCCGGCCCCTTTCCCCAAGTCTGCTCTATGATTGGTGATTAAGCTAGCCAACCTCCCCCACTATTGGCCAAGCGGCCGTCGCTCTTCCTTCGGAGTGTCGCCTACGCCTATTTCCTCCCGGGGAGGAGGGGCCCGAGTTCCGCGTCGTCGCGCAGAGCTGACTCTGGGAGGCGTTTGGGCCCAGAGAAGTGGATCGGCTGCTTTCGCCGCATGGAATCCGAATCGGAAAGCGGGGCTGCTGCTGACACCCCCCCACTGGAGACCCTAAGCTTCCATGGTGATGAAGAGATTATCGAGGTGGTAGAACTGGATCCCGGTCCGCCGGACCCGGGTGAGAATTGCCGGTCCTCAGGCCATGGGACAGGAGGCGCTCATCCCTGGCCTATGACCCCAGTTTCTCCCCCCTCCCCTCTACACCCTACCGGTCATTCCTACCGACTTCCTTCGCCCTTCCCCCCTCCTCCCACCCCCACACTTAGTTCTCAGGCCTGGCCGGGGTGGGGGTTCCCCTGACGCCTCCTCCGGCCCTTCCCCTCACACACCCCCTTCCCATCATCCCCTCGGTCCTCCCTTTCCACACAATCTCTGGCCAACCTCAGGTACTCAGACGTCTCCTGCCCTCGGTCCCACACCTCCTCCTCACTGCCTCTTCTCGCCCCCGCTTCATCCCGTTCATCTGACCTCACCCTCTTGCCACATGACCCACCCCATCCCTAGGCCTCCCCACACTAGTCTCCATCCCTCTTACCGCCTGCTGAGCCCCGTTTTTTAACCCTCTCCCCAAAGCAGATGATCTAGCCCAGGAGATGGAAGACGTGGACTTTGAGGAAGAGGAAGAAGAGGAAGACGGCAACGAGGAGGGCTGGGTTCTGGAACCCCAGGAAGGGGTAGTCGGCAGCATGGAAGGCCCAGACGATAGCGAGGTCACCTTTGCATTGCACACAGGTAGGACTCTGAAGAGATCCATCATAAACTCAGGCCACATTCGAGCGTCGCACGTCCGCTGTGTACTGAGCATTAGGAGGGACGCAGAGATGGGGAAACGCTGGCCTTGCTCTGGAGGAACTCACAGGTAGAGGGCAGTGTGATGGAGAAGAGCTTGGCTCCTGGAGTCATTTGATGAATCTGTTTTCAAGTCTTACCTTTGCTATTTACCAATTTTATCTTTACTAATCTCCCTGGGTTTTACTTTCCTTTTAAAAAGTTATCTTAGTGTAGGTTAGATGTTATAGTACCTTTTTGAGTATACTTTATATAATCCTCTAATACTGATTCATAATAAGGAACCAGTGACATGATGTTCTCCTCCCTCTGTTCCGGGCCTGGTGGCATCCCATGCTGAGAGCTGTAAGCTCTGCACTTATACCCTTCTCTTGTCTATGGCATCAGTGTGGGGTGGTGGAATGTGCAGCACCGAAGGGGAGGGATCTGCCCTGGAGAAGGATTTGGAGCTTGGCAAGCTTGGGGAGGGATTTCTCCAACAACCTGATGCTTAGAACTTGAATGCATCCGTCTTTTCCAGGAGGAAAAACATGTTGCTTTGGGTGGAAGGGGGTGGGCTTCCCGTAAGTCTGGAAGGACAGAACCCTAGGTGGGAGCCCCATCTCCTTACTTGTGAAATATCTCTTGGGACAGCATCTGTGTTTTGTGTAAGCCTGGACCCCAAGACCAACACATTGGCGGTGACAGGGGGTGAAGATGACAAAGCCTTTGTGTGGAGGCTCAGCGATGGGGAGCTGCTCTTTGAGTGTGCAGGTGAGGGGGCCCAGGTGAGGTTGTGTCCCTTTGGAAGTCTTAGGGGGCTAGCCTGCAGTGGTTATGAATCCAACAGTCATGTATTTATTTATTTATTTTTCAATTTTTTTTTTCTTTATTGATTTTAGAGAGAGAGGAAGTGAGAGGAAGAGAGAGATAGAAACATCGACGAGAGAGAACATCGATTGGTTGCCCCCGGTATGCCCCCCCATTGGGGATCAGGCCTACAACCTGGGCATGTGTCCTGGCCGGGAATCGAGCTGGCGACCTCTTGGTGCATTGGTCAATGCTCAACCACTGAGCCACACCGGCCGGACTAACAGTCATTTATTGATCTCCGTTTTTCTAGTTCTGTGCTGGGCCTGAAGACTCCAAAGAAGATTAGCATAGTCTGTTGTGGACATAGCGGAGGGAGGCACTAATTGGGGAAGGGAGTCTGGGAAAGACTTGAGAGGAGGAGACAGGCTGATGTAGGAGTGTTTGGGAAGAGGAAAGAATGTAGGTATTCCAGGCAGAGGTGCAGAGTGGATAAAAGGGTAAGACATAGGTCTGGGCTACACGTGGTTGAGTGGAGAGCCAGCAGTGTCTCCCTTGGGGGGAAGCTGGGTGTGTTGATTCCTGCAACAACAATGAATTTGGTCGCCTATTCTGCTGGGATCCACCCTTCATTTTTCCCCAGCTGGTCCTTTCAGAGGCCAGATACCTGGGTCATGTGCCCTTAGTATCAGGTGCCCTGACATTCTCTTTCTGCTATTTTTTTGAAGGCCATAAGGACTCGGTGACTTGTGCTGGTTTCAGCCATGATTCTACCCTAGTGGCCACAGGGGACATGAGTGGCCTCTTAAAAGTGTGGCAGGTGGACACCAAAGAGGAGGTCTGGTCCTTTGAAGCAGGAGATCTGGAGGTGAGATCATTAGAGTGGATTCAACTCAGAGGGCCTTGGGTAGTGGGTGAGAGCTTGGGGGTTCAACCCTGCCGTTACCTGACCAAGCCATCTCTGAGTCCATGCACTGTCAAGGTACAGCAAAAGTGTCTCTGCCTGTTACCAGAGTGTCCCCGCTGACTCAGAAGCAGGGGGAGCTTGGTGGGGCTCATAAGGCAGGTTCCTAGGTGGGATGGAGTGATGGGCCTCCCTGTTGACCCCTCCTCTCTATCCAGTGGATGGAGTGGCACCCTCGGGCACCTGTCCTACTGGCGGGCACTGCTGACGGCAACACCTGGATGTGGAAAGTCCCAAATGGTGACTGCAAGACCTTCCAGGGTCCCAACTGCCCGGCTACCTGTGGCCGAGTCCTCCCTGATGGTGAGAGAAGCTTCCTTGAGTGTCTTTCTTGAGTACAGAGAGGTTGGATGCAGGGTTAGGTGCCACAGCCCACACACGCAGCCTATTCTCAGGAGCATTGTCCTCACTGGCCCCAAAGCAGACAGCTCCTTCTTTCCTACCCTGAACTAGGTCTCCTCTGCTGGTCCCTGGGGCAGGGTTTGATACCTCACTTTCTTGTTTCCCTTTCTTGTCCCCCCTCCTCCAATTCCCTTGTTGGGTGTGTCTGAATATACTATCTGTCCTTCGTCCGTGCCTCTGGCCCTTCAGGGAAGAGAGCTGTGGTAGGCTATGAAGATGGCACCATCAGGATTTGGGACCTGAAGCAGGGAAACCCCATCCATGTACTAAAAGGTAATAAAGGTGGGGGAAGTGTTACGTTGGGCCTTTGTGGGGAAGGGGCTAAGACCTGGGACGGGACTCAGAGGGGACAGGGTGAAGTCTGACTCATTTCCTTGCTCCATCCTAGGAACTGAGGGTCACCAGGGCCCTCTGACCTGTGTCGCCACCAACCAGGATGGCAGCCTGATCCTAACTGGCTCTGTGGATTGCCAGGCCAAGTTGGTCAGTGCCACCACCGGCAAGGTGAGTGGGACCTGAGGCCTAGCTGTGGAGCCTTCCACTTTCTGTGTCTTCTCTCCTTCCTTTCTTATTCTTCACTTGATCTCTCTGCCTCGCTGCCTTCCTTCTCAATTAGAGGACTAAGTTTCCAGGTCCTTCTCTGATCCTTTCCTCTGGCTCATAGGTGGTGGGTGTTTTCAGGCCTGAGACTGTGGCCTCCCAGCCCAACCTGGGAGAAGGGGAGGAGAGCGAGTCCAACTCAGTGGAATCCTTGGGCTTCTGCAGTGTGTGAGTGTGAGCCAAGGCCTCGGCCTGGAGACAGGCTGGAGATGAGAGGGGCTGAGCGTGGGGAGGGGCCTCGGCTGGGGGACCAGGAAGGAGTGAAGGGCACATGATCCCAGGTCCCTCTGTGAGCTTTGTGGTGCTTTCCTGTACCCAGGATGCCTCTGGCAGCTGTCGGCTACCTGGATGGGACGTTGGCCATCTATGACTTGTCTACGCAGACCCTCAGGCACCAGTGTCAGCACCAGGTACAGGCAGCCGTGGCTGTGGGGAAGCCCAGGCCTCTGGGAGCATGTGCCCCAGACCTGGCTCCTGCTTGGTCCTTTCTGTGGCCCATGAAGCCACTTTCCCTCCCTCCATAAGAGCCTCTCAGCCCTCCCCCTGACCTCCAGCTTGCCTCTGTCACACCCTGGTGCAGTCGGGCATCGTGCAGCTGCTGTGGGAGGCAGGCACCGCCGTGGTTTACACTTGCAGCCTGGATGGCATTGTGCGCCTCTGGGACGCTCGGACTGGTCGCCTGCTCACTGACTACCGGGGCCACACGGCTGAGATCCTGGACTTTGCCCTCAGCAAGTAAGTGAATTGGGCTGGGGTCTGTATTTGGAAAGTGGTAATAGCATGTGAAGGGCCACAAGGACATGTGGGTGTGGGAGGGGATTCCTGAGGAAAGCTGGGACCCAAGGCCTGGTTGTGGGTTGCGGAAGCAGGAGTGCTGGGAAGACTGAGGGAGCCGCCACTTCCGGTTGACAGTGACTTGCCGGGTCTCACATCAGTCCTGGGGCTAGGGGCTGGGACTGCTCCCCCGTGTGACGGCTCTCCTCTCACTCCCTCGCTGATTGCTGGCTTCAAGTGTGTTCACTCAACGTGCGAGTGTCAGCCCAGTGCCAGACACTAAGGGTCTAGAACGGATGTGTTGGAGGAGGCCTCCCAGGGGCCCCTGGGTGGTGAGTTCAGGGCCAGCCCCAGGCCCCCGTCCCTTTGACCCTTCCTTTCTGTCCACAGAGATGCCTCCCTGGTGGTGACCACATCAGGAGACCACAAAGCAAAAGTATTTTGTGTCCAGAGACCTGACCGCTAGTGGCTGCAGCCTCTGCTGTGTGTCTGGTGTTAAGGAGGTGAAGGGAGACCCACCAGCAGAGGCAGGAGGGTGAGGGGAGAGGACGGGAGGGCCTCGGACTGCTTTCCAACCCCTTTACACTGATTTGCTCCCTCTGTCCCTTTCTTCTCTTAAGAGACCCACCCCTCGGGTGCCTCCTCTCCTCCCCCAGACCTGGGGGATCCCTCAGACGGAGGTTCAGATCTCTTTCTCTATCACTTTCATTTGTGGGTGTGAGTCATGGGGTGCCTATTTGTATGTGGGGAGTAGGTCTTTGAGGTGCCCGTTCTTTCCCTTCCCAAGTCTCTGGGGGTGGAAAGGAGGAAGAGAGATTAGTTACAGATTTTAAAAAATGTAAATAAAATATACTTCCCAGAGACAATGTCTGTGGATTTTGTGGTGGCTGGACCTGAGGAAGAACCAGTGAGGGGCATGTCAGGGTGAGGCCCACCCCCCATCTGCTGGACTGTCAGCACTCAGCTTGCCCCCTGCCGGTGGTGTGGCCTCACCTATTTTGCTGCTCTGCCAGAGTTGGAATCTCCCTTAATGCCTGTCTGGCTTTAGGTTCTTTGCACAGCTGCCTCTCCCTTTCTGCAACATGGAGTGAGATATCATATAAACTGGGCCAGAGGAGCTTTATTCGGCCAGGGTGCGGTAAAAAGGGGCAGGGTCTCCAGAGGTGTGCAGACAAGTGGAGACAGGCTTGGTGGCTGAGATGGATGGATGCTTCCGGTAGGAATGAGCAGAGGCCCTTCCCCTAGTTCAAGTCCAGGTCCATGCTGCTTTGGCTGCTGGTGCAGTAGGCAGTACTGGGGCCAGGACTGCCCCGAGAGGCTCTTCCCTGCAGCGCCCGTAGCCACCTTCGTGCGGCTGCCCTCCAGGGAGCTGTGTAGCGCTGATCACCCAGCCCCATGGCCACAGGCACGGCTGCTGCACTGGCACTGCCCAGTGAAATGAGGGACAGCAGCGTTCCAGGCCCCAGAGGTGGGCGCTGCTCATAGGCCAGCACGGAGAGGAGCAGGGTGGCCACATAGGGTCCCCAGCACAGCCCGAAGAGCAATGTGGCTCCAGCCTGTGCCCTTGCTTGTCTCCAGGTAAGGGCCCGAGCCAGGGCCGAGGGCGCTCCACGGTACACTGCCCGCTCCAACCGGCGGATGTCCTGCAGCTGGCGGTGAGCAGTGACCAATACACGGGCAGAGAGAAGGGCCGCAGCACCGATGGCGGGCAGCAGCAGCCCATAGACTTCGAGGTAGAGGTAGGGGGCTGGGAAGACAGCCTGGGAGCTGCAGTTGGTACCAGGGGCCCAGTGGTTCCACCCCAGAGCAGGCAGGCTGGTGAAGAGCAGGGGGCCAGCCCAGGTGAGGAGCAGGGCCAGCCGAGTGCTCCCACGGGTCCGGAGAGGCCGCAGCACTGCCATGTAGCGTTCCCCGTGTACCAGTAGCAGGTTGGTGAGCAGGGAGAGGAAGGAGAAGTTGGGGGCTAAGTAGAGGAAGAGACAGGACCAGTAACCTCGGCGACTCTGGCTCCATAGGCCTGGCAGTGTGGGTAGTGCCAGCCCTGTGAGCAGCCCAGCGAGCAGCAGGCTCAGGAAGAAGCAGCCAGCAGGCAGGCTGCGCAGGCGGCGGTCCCCGGCAATACTCAGGGCCAGGAGCAAGTTGGCCACGACGATCAAGCTTGCCAGGACCAGGGAGAGCCCAAAGGCCCCCATGGGAACAGCGCTGGGCACCTCCCTGGTGCTGTTGGGTGTCATCTTGGGCCTGGGGACAGGGGAGACCTGGAGGAACTGCCAGCATTCCTGTACAGATGATGGGGTGGCCAGAGTTAGGGTGGGGCTGCAGGTCACTGTCCTCTTGAAGGATGCGTTAATCTAGAGGTTGCAGCCCAATGGACTGTTGGCCATAGACATTTTTTTCAGTTAATGGCCAATTAAAATGTACATAAAAATTTCCATTCTGGGCCTCTCTTAAATCAGCTGTGGCAACACATATGTCTTATGTGGTGGCAACCAGCTGGAGTGGAGCAGTGGCTCCCTTCACAGGTCCCAGAGTCCCCACATGCCACTTCACCCATTACTGTTACCTGCTTGGTCCTCCTTGAGCAGCTTGCTGTGGGGCCTTCCAGCCCCAAAGCATCTTGTCCATCCCTGCCTCCACCCGGCAAGGCCTCTAAATTAGCAGAAGGGAGGATAGGGTCTGGCTGGTGTGTAGAGGTCCTCTGGCCAGCCAAAGTTGACAGCCTCCTTTGGGCTGGGGCCAGGTGCTTAAGAGTGGGTTCTTTGATGAAGGAGAGGGGTCCCTATCTTCAGATGCTCGAAACCTGGTTGGCACCAGAGCATTAAGGTTGGGGGTGGGAGGCACGAGTGAGGCAGACCCAGGGCTTATTGAGCATTAGTGATGAGGCCAGGGCAACGGTGGCAGCAAGTGGGGTGCCCTGCACTCCTCCCCCAATCTGCCCTTCTGGCCAGTTGGTTACATATCAGTGAGCAGCCTCCGGGTAGGACTTCCAGCCCATAAACTTGACTCATCCAAAGCACACTAGCAACAGGTCCCTTCCTGGGAACTGGAGGAGGGAGAGGAGTTGCTTAGGGTGAAGTGAGGGTGGGGGTGGGAAGAACTGGGAGTGAATGTGGAGATTCCAGCAGCAAGGAGGACAACTCCCACACGCTAGGGCAGACACTGACCCCAGAGGAGAGGGAAGAGGAGCTGCTGGACAGGGCCTGGCCTCTCTGTGGCTCTGATCTGTCCCTGTCCCTTTCTTTACTTGGCTCCTTGTTCTCAGTCCTCCAGCACCCTGGCCCCACTGCCACATCAGGGAACGGGGAGAGGTCCTGGACCCTATGGAAACTCCTGCTTCTGTCAACAGGGGAGCAGCGGCTGTTGCTAGGATTTAAGTCAATAAGGAAAGGATTTCTACTGCCCCCTCCCCCAGGTGGGAGGATCAGAGGGCCCACAGCCACCTTGAGCTCAGGAGAAGCTGCCCTTCTTTGGCCTCCAAACTGCTGTAGCCCTTTCCCCTCCCCTGGTGTCACCCAATGAAGAAATCTTTCTTAATAGCCCTCCAGTTTGTGTCCCCCTTTGTCCCTGTGTGGACAACTTTATCAAACCTCACAAGACTTCAGGGTCCGTTACTTGAAGCCTGGCCTCAGGATCCTGGGCTGGAGCTCCAGCCCTCCCCTGGAAAGAGTCCTTTACCCTTCCGCCACCAGAACAGCAAGAAAGGCAGGGTCAGTCCCCGGGGCGACTTACCACTGGTGTGTGGGTAGTCTGACCCCCCCCCCAGCCCCCCTCCCCCCTGCAGCGGCTCTGGTGGCAATGACCTCTTCAGGATCTGGGGCTGAGGTCTTGGGGTGGGGAGGGGACATAGCTACTCACATGGCAGTTGGAGACAGGTGTTGCTCACCCAGCCTGGGCTTTCCTCTGAGTGTCAGGGAGCTGCTGCAGCCAGCCCTGCAGGACTCCTGGAGATGTCTGATGTCCTGGCCTGGGAGAGCATGGGGCCTCCACTCTGGGACAGCAGGGCCCCAGGCTCTTGGCAGCCTAGGCTCTGCCCCTGCCTGGGTTCGCGAGGGATGTAGCTGAGGCTGGCGGGGCTTAGCCTGGCCCCGCCTCTGAGGGTGGGACCTGGCACACCATGGCTGTAGCAACTCCGAGGCCTTTCTCCCTTCCCCCTGTACCAGAGTTTTCCTCTTTCCAGCCACTGGCCATAGCTTGTCACTTAGGTGGGGAGATCCTCTCTCAGGTCACTCAGTTTGGAGACCTCTCCCCTGCTACTGCATAGCTAACCTGAGAAATGCATTCCAGTTAATGAATAATGATTTCTTCTACCTTTCCCTATTTTCCCCCCAGCTAATACATTTACATGTTATGTGTCTTATACCCCTGAGTGGCCAGCCAGCTGACAGCACATTGAACTCCATAATTCTGTCTGTCTGCCAAAGAGGAGTGTGTGTGCAATGGTGGCAGTAGTGGGAGTGTTTGGGGTTTGAGGATCTTCACTGCCCCCCATCTTATTGCCTGATGGACCTTTTGCTTATAAAGCCAGCCTTGCCTTCTAGAATCTGGAGTTGCCCTGGCTAGTTTGGCTCAGCAGTTAGAGCGATGGCCTGCGGTCCAGAGAGACCCAGGTTCAGTTCCCGCTAAAGGCATGCACCTTGGTTGCAGTTTGTCCCCGGCCCTGGTTGGTTCGTGTGGGTGGCAGCCACTTGATGTGTCCCTTTCACATCGATGTTTCTCTCTCTCTTCCTCTTTCTCCCTCCTACTCTATCTGAACAAAAAATGAAAAAAAGAAAAATGTCCTCTGGTGAGGATAAAAAAAAAAAAAGGAATCTGGAGTTATTCCACACTTTTCTCAACTATTTTGTGAGTCAAGTTCTGGGCTATGAAGTACGAGTAGCTCTGGGGGTGTGATCTTGGGCAAGTTGCCTTTGGCCTCAATTTTCCTTCCTGTAAAATGGGAGAAAGCTACTCTCAGAGTTGTTGTGAAAAATGTTATGGGATAACATGTAACTGATAAGATCCCAGTGCCTCACACTTAATGCGGGGAGCCACTCTCATAGTTGTGGGAAATGTTATGGGCTCAGCCAGGTAGTTCAGTTGGTTAGAGCATTGACTGATACCCCAAGGTTTTCGGCTCAATCTGTGGTCAGGGCACATACAAGAAGCAATCAATGAATGCATAAATAAGTGGAACAACAAAACCTTTTTTGTCTCTGTCTAAAAAATTCAATGAAAAATAACTGAAGCCCTGCCAGTGTGGCTCTGGATTGAGCATTGTCCCATGGACTGAGAGGTCCTGGTTCAATTCCCGGTCAGGGCACATGCCTGGGTTGTGGGCTCCATCCCCAGTAGGGGTCATGCAGGAAGCAGGTGATTGATGTTTCTCTCTTATGTGGATGTTTCTTTCTTCCCCTTGCTCTCTCTCTAAAAAATCAATAAAACATAAAAACATTTTTAAAATTAATTTATTTTTTAAATCCTCACTCAAGGTTATTTTTCCATTGATTTTCGGTTGAGAGAGAGAGAGAGAGAGAGACATCTATGTGAGAGAGACACATTGATTGGTTGCCTCCCGCGCGATCTTGACCAGGGCTGGGAATCGAACCTGCAACCAAGGTACGTGCCCTTGACTGGGAATCATACCCTCAACTCTCTCGTCTGTGGACACTCTAACTGCTGGGCCAAACAGACCAGGGCTAAGTTTTTTTAAAGTGTTATGAGACAGCCCGGCCGGTGTGGCTCGGTGGTTGAGCATCAACCCATGCACCAAGAGGTCGCCAGTTTGATTCCCAGTCAGGGCACATACCCAGGTTGTGAGCCAAATCCCCAGTGTGGGGCATGCAGGAGGCGGGCAATTGGTGTTCTTATCGATGTTTCTCTGGTCAACGGGCCAAAGCTCTAAGTGCTGAGCCAAACCGTTCAGGGCTCTCGTCAATGTTTCTATCTCTCTCTCCCTCTCCTAGAACTCTCTCTAAAATCAATGAAGAAAAAAAATTAAAAGTGTTATGAGATAACACATGTAACCGATTAGATCCAGTGCCTGACACTTAATGAGCAGGCAGGAGGGTCTCAACAAATGACTCCTCTCCTTATTCCATGATGGTTAAGAGTCACAGGCCAGTGTTGGAATCAGAAATCCTGGATCTCAGGATTTGGATCTCAGAATCCTGGCTGAGATCCTATATTTTTAGCTGTGTGAATTTGGGCAAGTAACTAAAGTTCTCTCGCCTTAGTTTCCTCATCTGTAAAATGGGGCTCATACTGTAGTTACCTGTTGTGAGACCAAATGAGATAATACGTGATAAAAACTTAGATCAGCCCTGGCTGGTTTGGCTCAGCAGTAGAGCGTCTGCCCGTGGACCAGTGAGCTCTGGGTTCGATTCCAGCCAAGGGCACGTACTTCGGTTGCTGTTCACTCCCCGCCCTGGTTGGGGTCGTGTGGGAGGCAACCAGTCGGTGTCCCTCTCATGTCGTTTCTCTCTCTACCTGAAGATAAATAGAAAAATATCCTCGGGTAAGGATTAAAAACAAACAAACAAAAAACTTAGATCAGTGCTGGGCAAATAAGCACTCAATGAAAGGTAGCTGTTATTAACATTATTAGGACTTCTGCCCTCCTCCACATGTCCTTTCCCTCCAGCCAATCCTCCCCTCTAAGACAGAATTCCCCCGAGAAAGGCAGCCTATGAAAAGCAAGAGGCCAGTGACACTTCTGCTCCACAGGAAAACGGGAAAATAGGCACAATCATGTGGCACTTAACGACAGGGATACGTTCTGAAAAATGCCTTCTTAGCTGATTTGTTGTTACACAAACCTATATGGTACAGCCTACTACTCATCTAGGGTTAGTATAATCTATAGTACAGCCTATAGCTAGCTCTGTAGGGGAGGAAAAATTTTCCCTCTACCCTTCTGGGTTCTTGGTTGAGACATCCCTGTAATAAGAGACAGATTAGTAGAAAAATAAAAGTTTGATAGGATGCATACCTCCTGTACACATGGAGCAACCCAAGAAATCGGAGTAACTCAGCAAAATGCCTGAAGCCATCACCTTAAATACCATCCTCAGCTAAGACAAAGATGTTGGGGGTGGAGGAAAAGCACACTAAAAATGGGTATGGTTATTATGCAGATTTAAGTCATGGTCTTCCACACTGTAAGACGCTCTAGAGCAGCGGTTTTCAACCTGTGGGTTGTGACTCCTTTGGGGGTCAAATGACCCTTTCACAGGGGTTGCCTAAGACATAACAGTAGCAAAATTACAGTTATGAAGTAGCAACGAAAATAATTTTATGGTTGGGGGTCACTACAACATGAGGAACTGTATTAAAGGGTCGCGGCATTAGGAAGGTTGAGAACCACTGCTCTAGAGATAAGACCATCTCTCCTCCTGGTACAGTGAGGGAGACACCCTTACAATTTCCCTTACAAGCACAAATATCTTTTACAGAGTAACTTCTACTTGGTTTTCAGAGCTTCTTCCAAGTCAGAGGGTTTCTTAAAATTAACCAGCCTAAAATAATCCTTATGCTAAAGAGACATATTTGGGGTGACAAATTCTGTTCTCTTACAGCTCCCAGGCTACAAACCAGAACAGCATGTTACTGTTCTGGATACTGTAGGCAATTGTAACAATGGTATTTGTGTAATGTATTTTGCTACCTCACTAGATGATAGGAATTTTACATCTGCATAATCTTATGGGAATACCATTCCCTATGCAGTCCTTCAATAACCAAAACGTCTTTTTTTTTTTAATGCTTTTATTGATTCCAGAGAGAAGGGAAGGAGGGGTTGGGGGGGAGAGAGAGAAACAGAAACATCATCGTTGCCTCCTGCATGCACCCTGACCAGGGACTAGCCTGCAGCCTGGCCATGTGCTTTGACTGGGAATCAAACCTGCGACCCTTCAGTGCAAGGGATGATGCTCAACCAAACCACACTGGCCAGGGCCAATATGTCTTTATGTAGTGCACGACTACCATGAGAGGAAGGGCAAATTCAGGGCTATAAGGCCAAGAGGTGTTGTGCCCCCATTTACACATTGTATCAAGTGTGGCTTTGGGGTGAGGGAGAGTAGCCACTTACACTGCCTTAAGACCTGAAATGGGAGGGAACAGGCTAAAACTGCAGCAAGAAACCTGGAAGTGAGACATTAGGAAACGCTTCCTTGATCAAGAGCACCAGTGGACGGAGCAAGGGGACTTTGAGGCTCTCTGGGAAGGGCTGGTGGCACAGCAGCCAGGGGTCCTGGAGGACAGGACTTCTGTTGGGACAAAAAGTGGGAAGAGGAAAGCATCTAGCCTCAAACACATACTCAAGGGAGCTGGTGGGTGGAGGACACTGAGTTCCAGCATGATCCTCAGCCCCATGCTATCTGTTGGGCAGATGTCAGAGGCTCTGAGAGAGTTCATCCTGGAGTCTGGACAGAAGTGGGTGTGGGGCCCTCGGATATTGGACTGCCAGGAATAAACAGACGTCCTTGTTCCTAGCCCTGGCCTCCTCCCTGAGGGATCCAGGATGTCTGTGTTTCTTCTTCACTGCTCTGTCTAAACACTGTGTGTGGGATGACGTGTGAAGGGGAACAGCTTAGTAGGCAGCTGGAGCTGGGAAGCCTGGGTTCTGTCCCCTGCTCGTTCAGCCATTTCTTCCTTACAGGATCATCCAGTTCCTCTGCTCCCCCATCAATTCCCGGGCCTGACTCATCTGCTTCTCTCCTTTTCCCAAAGAACCCTGGTGCAGGCACTTTGCAGATGCCCTTTCAGCTGACTGCAGGCTCTAGTGCCCCAAACCCATCCCATTCTCCTTTCCTCAGGTAGAGTTTACATCATGGTGCCCAATCCACACTAGCAGGGAAGCCTTTGCCCACCCCATTCTCTTGGATATATGAATTTC